GGAAGCTGCTAACATAATGATAGCCAGGAAGCAAAAGAGAAAGGCAGGAGTCATAATAGCCCCTTCCTTTACACATTCCTACTGACCTGTTTCCAATTAGGACTTCCTGGTAGTGATTCTACCAAGTCCAGATAGTACTTCAGCCTGAAAGGGTTAAAACACTTGGGCCTTTGGGAGCACTTATCATAACCTTGGCACTGTCCACAGTGGCACCCACAGATCACCATGAGAAGATATCACCTGCTAGGCCCCTTTTTCAGAAACATGACACATACAAGTGGTGAGAAAAATATTGGGAAACAGAGGAATAATCATGAGAAGCTGATGCCGAGGAAGGAGCTAACCAAGTATGTATGAAGCAAAAGCTCGAGCTAAAATGTGTACCACTTCTCTGCTTCTGTGTTAATTGACATCTTGGTGATTGTTGCAAAGAAATAAAAGTTTCCATTTTTTGAGTTCGTTTTTTGAGTATGCACTTGTTTACTGTGATCCAGGGTGGGGCTGCTCAAACCCAGGCAGATCAGCAGTGCTAACCAAAGCACGTCCTGGTGCATTCTGGCATGCTTGGGCTCTGCCCCCAGCCTACCACCAGGTGCATGGGTTAATAGGTGGAGGGCTCTACAGCTGGATGGGGTCCAGCCAACCTCAGACGGACTCTGCCTGGGCTAGGTGGGCCGGGCATTCCTGCTGCCAGGTGGCTGGTGTCTAACTCATAGTGATGTGTACTTTGCCACACCCTTCCCAGTAGAACGACTCCCTGCTTTCTGCCCCAGTGGGCTGCACTTAGTCTATTATTATCATTATTGTTATTATTATTATTATTATTATTATTATTAGATATAAATGGCAGTAGAGTGTATTTTGGCATATTATATATACATGGATCCTATTCTTGTGGTTGTACATGATGTGGAGTTACACTGGTTGTGTGTTCATAATAAATATAGGAAAGTTGTGTCTGATTCATTCCATCATGTAAATATACCACATTTTCTTCATCAGTTCATCTGTTGAAGGGCACCTAGGTTGGTTCCATAGCTTGGCTATTGTGAATTGAGCTGCTGTAAACATTGATGTGGCTGCATCACTGAAGTATGTTGATTTTAAGGCCTTTAGGTATAAACTAAGGAGTGGGATAACTATGTCAAATAGTGGTTCCATTTCAAGTTTTCTAAGGAAACTCCATGCTGCTTTCCAGAGTCTTTGTACCAATTTGCTGTCCCACCTGCACTGCATGAGTGAAACTTTCTCCCCACATTCTCTCCAACTTTTATTGTTTCTTGTATTCTTGTTATTTGCTTTTCTGACTAGAGGTGGAATCTCAGTGTTTTTTTTAATTCCAGATGACAGTTTATTGATTGTATGAAGTATTACAAAATATTTGAACTTCATAAGTCTCTGTCATTTTCACCATTTCTTTTTTTTCCAAAAAAAAAAAAATTAAGTTGTAGATGGACACAATGCCTTTACTTTATTTATTTTTAGGTGGTGCTCAGGACCCAACCCAGTGCCTCACATGTGCCAGGTGAGTGCTCTACCACTGAGCCACAACCTCAGCCCTCATTTTTACTATTTTTTAAAGCAAGTTTTTTTTTCCTCTCTTTTGCATTTCTGAGAATTGAAACTAGGGCTTTGCACTTGCTAGGCAAGCCCTCTGCCACTGAGCTGTGCTCCCTGCCCTAACGCAAGTATTTCTTCAATTGTTCTTCACTCTTTTCAGTGCTGTAAAGAAAACTGAAGATTGGAGTCAATCAGTTAAAAACCTTTGGCTGGGATTTTGACTCAGTGGTAGAGCGCTTGCCTAGCATGTGTGAGGTACTGGGTTTGATTCTTAGCACCACATATAAATAAATGAATACAACTTAAAAAAAAAATCTTTGAGAGGATACATCTGGGCTCATTGCCCAGAAAAGAGTCTATGTGAAATTATTTGGAAATTGTGTCTGGGAGTCTTTTCCTTCTTCTTCTTCTTCTTTTTTTTTTCACTTTTTTAAATTTATTTTTTACTTATATGTAACAGTGGAATGCATTACAATTCTTATTACATTATTAGAGCACAATTTTTCATATCTCTGGTTGTTTACATAGTATATTCACACCAATTTGTGTCTTCATACATGTACTTTGAATAATAATGATCATCACATTCAACCATCATTAATTATCCCCTGCCCCTTCCCTTCCCCTCCCACCCCTCTATCCTATCTAGAGTTCGTCTGTTTCTCCCATGCTCCCTCTCCCTATCCCACTATGAATCAGCCTCTTTATATCAGAGAAAACATTCTGCATTTGGTTTTTTGGGATTGGCTAACTTCACTTAGCATTATCTTCTCTAACTCCATCCATTTACCTGCAAATGCACTGATTTTATTCACTTTTATTGCTGAGTAATATTCCATTGTGTATATATATGCCACATTTTTTTATCCATTCATCTACTGAAGGCCATCTAGGTTGTTTCCACAATTTAGCTATTGTGAATTGTGCTGCTATAAACATTGATGTGGCTGTGTCCCTGTAGTATGCTGTTTTTAAGTCCTTTGGGTAAAGATCGAGGAGAGGGACAGCTGGGTCAAATGGTGGTTCCATTCCTAGTTTTCCAAGAAATCTCCATATTGCTTTCCATATTGGCTGCACCAATTTGAAGTCCCACCAGCATTGTATGAGCATTTCTCTAATTGCTGGAGATGTTGGACATTTTTTCATATATTTGTTCCACCATTTGCATTTCTTCTTTTGTGAAGTGACTGTTCAGTTCCTTTGCCATTTATCGATTGGGTTTGGGGTTTGGGGGGTGGTAAGTTTTTTTGTGTTCTTTATATATCATGGAGATTAATGTTTTTATCTGAGGTGAGGGTGGCAAAGATTTTCTGTAGGCTCTCTCTTTATGTTCTGGATTGTTTCCTTTGCTTTTTAGTTTGACTCCATCCCATTTATTGATTCTTTGTTTTACATCTTGCACTTCAGAAGTCTTATTAAGGAAGTCAGTACCTAAGTCTACATGATAGAGAGTTGGGCCTACTTTTTCATCTAGAAGCAGGGTCTCTGGTCTAATGCCTCAGTCCTTGATCAGCTTTGAATTGAGTTTGAGTTTATTAGTGATAATTTTATATCTTGCAGGGTGAGAGAGAGGGGTTTAGTTTCATGCTATGTTCATATGGATTTCCAGTTTTCTCAGCATCATTTGTTAAAGAGGCTATCTCTTCTCCATCATATGTTTATGGCGCTTTTGTCTAGTATGAGATAATTATATTTGTGTGGGTCTGTCTCTGTGTCTCCTATTCTGTTTCATTGGTTTTCATGCCCATTTGAAGTCAACACCATGCCATTCTGGTTACTGTGATTCTGCAGTATCATTTGAGGTCTGGTATTGTGATGTCTCCTTCTTCACTTTTTTCCATATGTATGGCTTTGGCTATTCTGGGCCTCATATTTTTCCAAAGGAATTTCATGGCTAGTTTTTCTATTTCTAAGAAGAATATCATTGGAATTTTAATAGTAATTGCATTAAATCTGTATAACACTTTTCATAGTATGGCCATTTTGACAATATTAATTCTGCCTATTCTTTCCATCTTCTAAGGTCTTCTTTAATTTTTTTTTCTTTAGTGCTTTGTACTTTTCATTGTAGAGCTCTTTCACTTCTTTTGTTAGATTGATTCCTAATGGGGTGTTTTGTTTTGAGGATATTGTGAATGGGACAGTTTTCTTGATTTTTCTTTCAGGTGACTCATCACTGGTTTACAGGAACATAATTGATTTATGGGTGATAATTTATATCCTGGTACTTTGCTGAATTTATGAGTTCTAGAAGCTTTCTGGTGGAGATTTTGACTCTTCTAGGTATAGAATCATGGGTTCCTAGCGGGGGATCACCGTGATCAGAAGTGATGTGCATCAGGGGTTAAGCCAAGTCCAGCATCCCTGTCCCCAGTCTCTCTTACCCTCATCAAATAGGGATAGTTTGAGTGCTTCTTCTCCTACTTGTATCCCTTTAATTTTTTTTCTTTGTCTAATTGCTGTGGCTAGTTTTCAAGGACTATTTTGAATAGGAGTGGTGAAACAGGGTATCCCTGTCTTGTTCCAGTTTTTAAAGAGAATGCTTTCAATTTTTCTCCATTTTTATTATGGTGACCTTGGGTTTAGTATATATAGCTTTTACAATGTTGAGGTATGATCCTACTATCCCTAGTTTTTCTAGTGTTTTGAATATGAATGGGTGCTGTATTTTGTCAAATGCTTTTTATGCAGCTATTGAGATATTCATGTGGTTCTTGTCTTTAAGTCTATTGATGTAATGAATTACATTTATTGATTTCCATATTTCAAACCAACCCTGCATCCCCGGATTGAATCCCACTTGATAATGGTGCACTATCTTTTTAATATGTTTTTAGGTGATTTCCTAGTGTTTTATTGATGTTTGCATCTATGATCATCAGGCATATTGATCTGAAGTTTTCTTTGGTTTATGTGCCTTTGTCTGGTTTTGGTATCGGGCGATACTAGGTTCATAGAATGAGTTTGGAAAGGTTCCCTCCTTTTCTGTTTCATGGAATAATTGGAAGAGTATTGGTGTTAGTTCTTCTAGGAACATCTGGTAGAACTTAGCTGAGAATCTATTTGGTCATGGGTTTGTAGGCTTTTGATGGAATCTTCAATTTCACTGCTTAAAATTGATCTGTTTAAATTTTCTGTGTCCTGATTCAATTTGGGCAGGTCATATATCTCTAGAAATTTGTCGATGTCTTTGTGGTTTTCTGTTCTGTTGGAGTATAGATTTTCAATGTAGTTTCTGATTATCATCTATATTTCATTAGTGTCCATGGTGATATTTCTTTTTTGTTATGAATTTTAGTAATTTGAGTTTTCTCTCTCTTTTTCTTCATTAGCTTGGCTAAAGGTTTATCAATTTTATTTTTTCAAATAAACAATTTTTTTGTTTCATCAATTTTTTGAATTTTTTTGTTTCAATTTCATAATTTTGGCCCTGATTTTATTTATTTCCTATCTTCTACTTTGGGTGTTGATTTGTTCTTCTTTTTCTAGCCTTTTGTCTTAACTCGGTGATTACTTCCAGTGAGTCAGCTTCCTGGCAGCAGGAAAATCCAAAGGATGCATTGATTATTGGGGATCTCTGCAGCATATCTGAGGAAGATTTCTTCTTGCTCAGTCCTACCTTCCAAGTCCGGAAACCCACAGCTTCTCTGACACAAGGACTGTTACTGGCAGCTGATACAGAGAGATAAAAAGTCCTCAGAAGTTCTCTCCTGCACTTCCCCAGAAGGTATGGCTGAATTCCAGAGCAGAAGGGCAGTAAGAGCACTGTTGGCAGTGAAAAGGAAGGCTGGGTAGGAAGAAAGAGAAATACAGCCTGAAGGGGGCAAATGCATAAAGATACGGGCTACTTCCATATCTTCTGAGGTCTCCCTCTGTCCCAGGCACTGTGCTAAGTGCTGGGCATACATAATATAAGCTATTTTAGAATCTCTTTAGGTTTATAGAAAAACTACAAAGACAGTAGAGTGCCCATATGTCCCAGCAACCCATCCAGGAGCCCCCATTGCATTCAGCTGCCATGTCCCTTTAGGCTCCTCTTGGCTCTGACCCTCCTTGCTTTGAATGGCTTGACCATTTAGAGGAGCAGTGGTCAGGTTCCGTAGAATGGCTCTCAGTTGAGTGTGTCTGATATTTCTGTCATGACGGGGCTGGAGCCAGGGGCTTGAGGAGGAAGATCACGGAGAGAAGGTGCCCTTTTTATCCCATCATATGAAGGACATATGGGAGCAATGTGACACATCACTGTGGTGTTGACCTTAATCTCTGCATGAGGTCATGTTTGTCAGGTTCTTTGCTGTATCTTATTCTTTTCTCTTTCATCCACATTGAACTCTTTTGAAGGAAGTCACTATTTCTGCCCAGACAGAAGGAGTTGGGAGTGATACTTGAGGGCAGAGGATCTACATGAATGATAGTTTAGTATGGTACATTAAAATAAGTGGGCTGAGGGTGTAGCTCAGTGGTTGAGTACTTGCCTAGCATAAGGAAAGCCCTGGGTTCCATCCCAGCATTGCAAAAGAAAATGAATTAAAATAATAAAAACATACTTCATACTTAAAGTGTACAACTTGATTTTTTAAGTTCTGTTTTCAACCCTCACCACAATCAATTTTTAAACATTTCCATCTCCCCTAACAGAAAGCCCATATCCATTAGCAGTCACTTCCTATTCCTTGCCTCTAATGCCTCCCCAAAGCCCAGAAACCACTAATCTATTTTCCATCCCTATGAATTTGCCTTCTCTGGATATTTCATATAAGGGGAATCATGCAATATATGAATATGTATCTGGCTTCTTTCATTCAGCATTATGTTTTCCAGATTCATTCATGTTGGAGCATGTATCAGTTGCTCGTTCCCTTTTATAGCCGAATACTAACCCAGTATATGACTATGGCACATTTCTTTAGAGCAAATATCAGTTGCTCTTTCCTTTTATGACTGAATACTAACCCATCACATGACTATGGCACATTTCTTTTATCATTCATCAGTTGATGGACATCTGGGTTGTTTCCACTTTTTGGCTATTATGAATAATGCTGCTAGGAACATTCATGCCCAGATTTTTCTGTGGACAGGTGTTCTCCTTTCTCTTGTGTACATGCTTAGTAATGAAATTGTAGGTCATACTGTAACTCTCTGTATAACTACTTGAGGAACTTCCACACTATGTTCTAAAGTAGCTGCACCATTTTATACTCTCCCAGTGATGCAGGAGGCTCCCAACATTCTTACCATCATTGGGGACTGTCTGTCTTTTTAACTATAACAAGAATAGCTGCCAAGTCAGTGGTACCAAAGCATGTTCTTGCTGCTTACAAGTGGCTGGGGAAGCCAGCATATCAGGAGGAGGCCTGGCATGCACAGGATGAGAGCCACCTCATCCCATCAATCTCCACAGCCATCAGCACCTCTCCATGGCAATTGGGAGACCCTACCAAGGCTGCTGCCTGCTTATCCATGCATCCATGATGGGTACTATCAGTCAGCTGGTCTCTGAGGTAGTTTTTCCAGGCTAACAGACCCTTCTGGCCATGTGGTATTTTTCAATCAAGCGGTCGATAAGTTCCCACTTCTTGGGGTCATCTGCCAGGCCTGCACTTGCCGGAATTCCACATCGACTGGAGTTTCAGGTGTTCCTGGATGTTCCCACCACATGCTCACAGACCATTCTCTGTCTGCCCATAAGAGGCATCATGTGTGGGTTTTCTTGTCCCTAGGTAAATCTGCTGAAAATCATCTTTCTAGTAAAAGATGATTTTTAATATGATGGATAATTTCTTTTTATCTTAGACCCCAGGCATCCCCACATGTAGGATGATTTGGCACATTGGGCTGCTTCCATATCTTCTGAGGTCTCCCTCTGTCCCAGGCACTGTGCTAAGTGCTGGGCATACGTACTGAACAAAAGCTGAGATTGCTGCCTTCATGTGAATTCCAGTTCATGGAGAGACAAGGAGAGAAGAAAAGCGATCAAAATAGTTACACAAAGATTTGATTGCAGATTTTTGCCAAGCTCCTAGAAGTAAGGGATGTATTATTGTGGGGGAAGGGATCAGGAAAGCTGAGATCTGAACACAGGTAAGAATTAGGTTGGTACAGAGTAGAAGGGAAAGTGTCCCAGGGAGGGAGAATGGCATGAAAAGGCCTTGAGGGAGGAAATCTCCTGGCCCTGTTGAGGAATGCTAGTGGCCTGAAGGTAGTGAAAACAGCGGCCGGTGATATAAAGTGAAGCATGTGCGGCAGCCAGGAGCCAAGATACACAGGACCCGGAGGCCATGGAATTTTTTTCCCTGTGAGCAATAGGAAGCCACTGAAGTTTTTTAATCAGGGAAGAGATATGCTCAGGCCTTTCTTCATTGTCCAAAGTCCCCATAGGCAGCCTTTTAAAGAAGACATCACGGAAGATAATTTCAGGCTTCAGGGAGAACAGGCAGGTAGTGAGGACAGTGACCCAGGAGGAAGAGCGTAGTAGCCCAGTCTAGGATGAGGATCAGGAACACATTGTTAGGGCTTGCAGAGATACCAATCTCACGAACAGGTATCGGCAGGAGTTTCTATTACAACCCAAGCTATGCCAAAGCTAAAACTCTTTTTATTTATTTATTCAGTGCTGGGGAACATAGGGCCTCATGTGTGTTGGGCAAGCAGTCTACCACTGAGCTAAACCTAAGGTCTATAAGTGAAGATTTTAACCCCCCCCCCCAAAAAAAAAACAACCTTGGGGGTTTTGTTCTCTGTTATTTAAAACCTTTCAGGGCTTCTTGCTCTGTCTGATAACCCCCTATTGTTGCTACTTATGGCAAAAGCAAAACAAAAAATTATCAAGACATATCTGTATGATAAGATCATTGTTGCTCGCCACCTCCCCAGCCTGACCCGACTGACCTACAAGCCTCTGTGCCCATAGAACACCATCCATCTCCTCACCTCCTGCTGGCCACACCGTACATATCACACCTTATTGGTGACAAACTGTGGTGGACAGCCTTCTCTTATTTCCTGTCTCTGTACCTTTACTTTCTGTTTCAAGGTCCCTTGCTATCCCTTGCCTGAATACCTCTCACTTGGCTCAGATGTGCTTTTCACAGGACCCTCTTCTGAGCCCCTCTAACATCCCACACAAACCCCCATTACTACAGTTTTCATTTTATTCTTAATTGTTTTTATTTATTGCACTATTCAACAAATATTTATTGAGTACCTGCTGCATGCCAAACTTATTCCAGGTGCTGGGAGTTTCAGCAGTGAACAAAACACATTCTGGTTAGTGGAGTCCAGTAAGGGGAGGCCAGGTAGCAAACAAAATAAGTACAACCATGTGTCACTTAACGACATCCTTAGGCAGTTTCATCACCATGTGAGCACCATAGAACACACTTACACTAACCAGGTGGTCTCATCCACTACACACCTGCACTATGTGGTCCATATGTGGTATGACCTATTGTTCTCAGGGCAACAATGAGCAAAGCAATGATGATTAAGTTCCCACAAGAAAAAAATGACATTATCAAAAGATACTGTAAACATATGATGTATGAGGCAGCAGAGCGCACTCTTCAGAGGAAAAAAAAATTTGTAAGTGAAAGGAATACACTCTAAAATGATAAGGGTGATAAAATATGGTATAAGCAAATACATGCACCAGTCACAGTTGTTCATTACCATCATCCTGTATCATGCCCCGCACATAGTTCTATGTGTCGTACCTTTAAAAACCGCCGTGTAGTGGATTTGTTCACACCAGCAGACATTTGAGCAAGGTGTTGCCCTGTGAGATTACAATTGCCCCACTGTCGCCAGGTGGTAGGAATTTAAAACCCCATTACAAGGACCATCAATATGTGGGTTGTGGTCACGTGGCACATCACTGTGGATAGATAGCACCTCAGAAGGATAAAGATGCTCTGGAGAAAAAGGAAACAAGGACCAGGTGGTGTCATGTGACATGATGTGAAGATGAACCACCTGGATGGATATATGCTGCAGGCTGATCCAGGTAGAAGGAGGGAGAAATGAAGACCACATCCTCAGGGGCTCATAGGTCATAATGGGGACCTTATCTTTTCCTCCCAGTAAATGGGAGACCAAGACACCCAAATGCCAGCCTCCACGTGGGGCAAGGGTGTCAGGGAAGCATCAAGTAGGAGAAGGCCCAGAGTCTGGTATACTGAGAAGTGACAGAATACAGTGCCCCCCGTGGTGTGGCACAGAGCGGACACCCAGCAAACGTCTGTTAAACTGCGGGGAAGGGACTTCCAGGAATAGGGCCTTCCCAGGTGACCTTGCAGGAGAAGCTTCTGGCCCTTTTTTGCTAGTCAGTGAGGGAGCAGATCCCCATATCAGTGAGGACCCCCCACAGAAAGCCCCAGTCTTCAGTTTGGGGTCTCTGCCTCAACAGAGCCGTGGTACCTGTGCACATGGTGGGGACAGAGGGGAATGTGAATTTGGGAGGGGGGGCATCGCGTGGTACACTGCTGTGACCTGTGGCTCACCCGCTGCTGACCTTATATAACAGGAAACTCCAAAAACAGCATCTGGCAAACACACTTTGGAAATCTGGACAAGGTCCATGCCAGGCTGAATCAGTCAGTGGCCCCCACGCCCATGATAATCCCAGGCTCCTTTTGAAGGCGGGCTATGAGCCCTGCCCAAGGCTTCACAGACTCATCTTGCCTTTCAGAATAAAACAAAAACAGACAACCCAAGACCTAATCCCCCAAGCCCCAGCCCCAGCTGTAGGAGCCAAGGTCCAGATTGTGCTACACCCCACATTTGAATATTATTTTTTCCTTGTCACGCACACTTCCTGGGCAGGGACTCCAAGAGCCAAATGGGCGGGAAGAAAGGTCCTTAAATATGTCCCCTCTTGGGTTCTGTTCATTCCAGGAGCCCCAGCCACTAAGGAGAGACTATATTGAAGGTAATCCTCTTCCCCTAGGTTCCCTTTCCTTCACCCTCCCCTCCGAGGTGGGGATACCTGGGCAGAGCCTGCACTGGGAACAGGGGCCCTTAGGGTGAAAAGTCCTCCATCCATCTGTGAGTGGGGCTGGTCCCTGCCCCAGGATCATCATCTTAGGAGTGAGCATCCTCCCAGTTGGACGCACTGAGGGTCCCAGGTCAGATATCTGGTAGCTCTGCCATTCTTATAGCACTAGGAGGTGGAGGTCCTGGGAATTCATGGAGCAGAGGAACTGAGGTGGTCTTTGGGTGGAAGAGCTGGGTGGGCTGTCAGGGCTCTTCACTCCCCTGGAAGGCAGTGGGGCTGACAGAGATGGATGTGTGTTCAAATCCTGACCTTGGTAATTGCCAACTGTGACACCAAAGCTAGAGCACTGAACAGTTTTCAGCTTCACTCTCCTCATCTGTGAGACAAACCCCTAGCTGTTCCTTCTTCATGAGCTGTTTACTATGGAGCATGGTGGTGATTGAAGGGAAGGCTGGGTGGGGAGCCTAGATGAGGGATGCTAGGGCAAAGTCAAAGTCAGCACAGATGAAGGTAGTGTGTTTGGGGGATGCTGGAGGACACGGTGTCACCCAGATGGTGGGCTGGCTCTGGGAGAAGGATCCCAGTTTGCATCAAAAGACGTTCCTGTCTGGGTGCCGAGCACTATGACAGGTGCTTTGTGTCACTATTAATCTGGGAAGCAGTTCTGTGGTCATCCCTGGCTGCTCACAAATGAGGCCCACATGCTTCTGAGTGGTGACTCTGGGGCATGAGCCCAGTACCATCCTACTCATCCCCAGGCTCTTCTCCTGGTCTTAGTAGCTAGTGGCTGGTTCAACCATCCAAGGCTGAGGAGGGAGCTGTATGGCTAGAGTCAGGTTCAGCAGGAGGATCCTGCCCTACAGTCAGGTAGAGCCAAGAGGTCTCAGTAAGGAGGCTTCCCTAGCCTCCTGCCAAGTCATAGGGAGTGAGCAGTAGCATGTACAGGCCAGTAGCATGTCCTAGAGATCAGCAGGGTCCCTCTTCCCTGAACAGAAAGTCTGGGACTGGACCTGGGGCTAGGGTCAGCACCTCATGGGGAAGAGAAGTGGTGGAAGGAATCAGGAACAAAAATTCAAGCAGGATCCTATATCTATATCTAATATGATTAAGTATTATGTGTGTGTGATATGCAGTGATTTTTTTTCTTGCTTTTTTTTTTTTTTTTTTGCAAGATGGAAATTCCCCTCCCTCTACCATGCTGCCCAATGTTAGGCAATGTCTGTGGGTGGATTAAATATCTCTGAAAGGAAAGCGAGGAACTGGTAATAGTGGCCACCTCTGGGGTAGGACCTGACAGCTGGTAGAAAGGAAGAGACACTTTCCTGTGTGACCTTTTTGTCTCTTCTAAATTTTGAATGAACACGTATGCCTATTCAAAAATGTGACCAGACATTTAAAAATATGAGCTCATCACAAAAAAAAAAAAAGTTACACTAGAGAAGAAACAGAGATCACTGGAGCAGTGGCACAGGGGTCTAGTTTAGTGGCAGAGAGTGTTTAGCATGTGGGAAGCCCTGGGTTCCGATCCCCAAAATGAGAGAGAAGGGAAAGAAAGAAAGAAAAAAATAAAAGAGAAAGAAAAGAAAACAAAGATCACCAAATATTACCTCCATCCAATGCTCCCCTGTGATGAGGCTATCTTTCTGGTCTTCTCTTGTATGCCTGCAAAAGTGCATGTACATCACACATGCAAGCCTGGCAGTCCTGTCATTCCATAACCTGTTCCTTGTCCCTAGAGCCTGGGACACATCTGGCACACACAGAGCCCTTATTAACATGCTGAGTAACTTTATTTCATTCCTAAATACTGCCCAATAACCACCACACTGAATGCAGCATAGTTCATTTGAACTGCCTCCTGCCTTAGGGCCTTTAGAGTGTCTTCAGTATTTATTCTATACAAACTGTGATGACTTCAGTGACTGCTTAGGAATACAGTAATTACTATAAACTCCTGAATATGAACCTTTTGTGCAGGTAAAATACCTTTGGAAGCCTTTTGCTAGATATTGCCCAGTTGCCCTCAGAAGAACCAATCCAATTTGCCAAGATGGCCTCTTGAACAAGTAACGGGAATTACCTCCATATTTTTGCACAGAAACCGGAAAGCTTGCGAGTTCCTTGCTAGCATTTATCTGTGTCTCCCAGGCTTAGCACGCCCTGATTTAATGACTTATGCCTGCTTTAGCTCTTGACCAGTCACCACCAGAAAAGGTTTTCAGGTATTTTGTTGCTAGTTTTTCTTTAATCAACCTGAGCCGTGGACTCTTGACCAATGTTCACCCAATCTAATCTGGAAAGTGTGTTACAGTTCCTGGAATGTTTGCCTGGGGGTGTTTCACCAGCTTTGCAAGCAGGTAGAGGCAAGAGTGGGACACCAGAGATGCCAGGAAGAGTCCTGTTGCCAGCACACTGCCAAGAAAGAACCCACATGAGCAATTCTGCTTAAGATCAGCATCAGGGCTTCCTCACCCTAATTGCGGATGTCAGTTTGCCCTGGGACATCTCAAAACACCAGAAGGATCCTGAAATTTGCAGTAGAAAAGGGGACCTCGCAGTAAAAATGACAATTTTCATGGATCCAGAGAAGTTAACCCTCTTCCTATACTATTAAGGCAGCGGGGGAACAGTAAGCGTGAGCAAGTCCACTGGTGTAGGTGCCTAGATGCATCTCTGAGCCAAGGACGTGGCCTTCTTTCCAACCTCCTCCACCCTGCTGCAAGATCCCCTCTGTCCCTAGGTACCATGAGCAAGATCAGCGACGTGGTGAAGAGGGCCAGGGCCGCCTTCAACTCAGGCCTGACCCGCCCGCTGCAGTTCCGGATCCAGCAACTGGAGGCGCTGCGGCGCATGATCCAGGAGCGCCAGCCGGACATCGTGGAGGCTTTGGCCGCTGATCTGCACAAGGTGCTCCTGCTAGCAGGGCTGCAGGGCTGCGCGGGAGACCTCCACGAGAGTGGGGACAGTTGTGGTTTGGTGTAGGGTATCGCTAGCGTGCATGGGGTTCTGTGCTCAACATTTTACAAAGGATCAGGCTCGGCCCCCAAAACCCTCCGTTGAGTGTCATGACCATATTATAGAAGGGAAAATGAGGCTTGGAAAGGTTTAGGAACGGCTTGGAGTCACCCAGTTCATCAACAGCTGAGAAGTGGCATACCACCCTCTCTTTTCCTCTCACTCTCAGCAGAGGGGTTCCACTGTACCCCAGTGCATTTTGCTGTTGTGCAGGGCACTCCTTACCCTCGTCTGTCTGCTTTTACCTCCTGACCAGGTTTCTTCACCAGTTTTTTTCATCCTGACCAGGTCTTAGCTTGTAACATAAGACCACCCATTCCAACCAATCTCCTCCTACAGGACACCCGGAGCATCTGGTGCCCTGAGTCCCACATGGGAACACCTGGCTCTCCATGCCAAGGAACAGTTTGCTGCAGCCGGGAGGCCACCTGCTCCCTGTGGCTGCAGGGGGGTTGGGGCTGCTCCTTCACTCACTCTGAGAGAATGAGACTCCTCCGATTCACAAACCTTTCACCGTAGGGCCCAGAACACATCTGAGCCTGTTTCCACCCTCCCTCTTGCCTGAGAGAAGAGAAAAGGTGTCTCTGCAGGGTCCAGATCTTTGGAGCTCACCCCTCTGCCATCTCAAGGCCTTCCCACCACCCTATTCTGTAGTTTTAGAAGATTGCTCAGGACTATTCATCTTAAAACTAAAACGAGAAAACTCACTCTCTTGACCTCACAGCCAAAGCTCATATTTTCTGTCTGTGCCTCCCCTCTCCTCACTCTGTGCTGCCCCAGAAGCCCTCAGTCCCCTGCCTACTCCCTCTGTCACCTTGTCTCCTGGCTTCCCTTCTGACTCTCTTGGGAAGCCATCTCCCTGTCCCCATTTCTTCAGGGTGGTCTTGAGAGAGCTCCTTCCTAGGTTCAGGTCTTATTTTTGACCCATAAACTTTCCCAGACAACACAACACATTGCTCAATTCCCCCTCTCCCCCCGACACACACACTCACTAATGACCCTCAAATCTGTCTCCTCCATCCAGGCCTGGCTTTTTCTTTCAGTCACCAGTCCTCTCCCTGCCAGAACCCCCAATGTAGCAGAAGTTAGATCCACCACTCCTGTTAGACCCTCACCTCTGTTTCTCCCCCAACCCCCATGTACTCTCTATTCCTGGTCCCCCACCTGGGCTGGGGAACCCATGGTGTACAACTCCCATTGCCCTGGCAGCTGAGGACTGGGAATGCCTAGCTTGCACCCCCAGAAGCTTGGCCTTGCTTCTGGGCTAGGAGCTTACATGGTGTCTTCACCACAGAATGAATGGACCGCCTACTGTGAGGAGGTGGGGTACGTTCTGGAGGAGATTGCGTATATGATCAAGAATCTCCATGAGTGGGTCAAGGATGAGCCTGTGGAGAAGACTCCTGAGACCCAGCAGGATGAGTCCTATATCCACTCGGAGCCCCTGGGAGTGGTCCTCATCATCGGCACCTGGAACTACCCCTTCAACCTCATTATCCAGCCCATGGCCGGCGCCATTGCTGCAGGTACTAGAGGCTCCATTCCAAGAGGGGCTCAGGCCTGGGGGAAAGAGGAGACCTGGTGGCAGACAGTGGTTTGATGTGACTTTCACAGGAGGCTGTGGAGACAAAACCATTTAGTTAGGCCTCCAGGTACCTGCATCCGAGGCCAGTCAGATGCAGATAACCATGAGAACAGCCTCCACCTGCCCATGTGTGTGGGTGGCTAGGGCAGCTCTCAGCTAAATCGACCAGGAGGGGCTAACACTACTCTCCCAACCAGCCCAAGAGCATCTCCCTCTCCTTTGTCCTTTCCTCTTTCCCAGCCTCCCAGCAACTGCAGAGGGGAAGGTGCTGCAGTTCTAGCCAGCATGAGCCTATGTGTGTACCTGTGTGCCTGAGTTTGTTCCTGTGGCATCTGATCATGCGTGCTCCTCAGCCTATGCCTTGTGTGTATTGCAAGTTTATGTGCTTGTGCATGTTCCTACAAGTCTTCCCTCCACGCCTCTGAGGACAATGATGTTGGAAGGAAGGCTCCAGGGTTGGTCAATAAGAGAGAAGAGCATTTGGGGTGGCCTGGTGTGGCGCTAAGTCTGTTTACTTTGCAGGGAATGCAGTGGTTCTCAAACCCTCAGAGCTGAGTGAGAACATGGCAAACCTGCTTGCCACCATCCTCCCTCAGTATGTAGATAAGGTAAGGTACCCTCCAGGGCTCAAAGATAACTGTTTGAGGTCAGGTCTTTGGGGCTTGACCAAGCCTCAGGTTGGGGAAGTATAGCTCCCAGGAGCTGCCCTCTCCTGCTGGGATGAACAGAAAGTCTCTGAGCCCTAATAGGGGAGCTCTACTTGCCAGTGGCCAGCCAGGGTAGGGTGCTGAGTTGCTGGGCCACAGGACCACTGGTCTCAGCCACGGCCTTACATGCAGGGGTGAGGAGGGAGTTGGTCTTTGCTGAGCCTTTCTTCTCTCCTTGCATGAAAGGACCTGTACCCAGTGATAAATGGGGGTGTCCCTGAGACCACAGAGGTGCTCAAGGAGAGATTTGACCACATCTTCTACACGGGCAGCACAGGCGTAGGGAAGATTGTTATGACGGCTGCTGCCAAGCACCTGACTCCTGTCACACTGGAACTGGGAGGAAAGAGCCCCTGCTATGTGGACAAGGACTGCAATCTGGATGTGGCCTGCCGGTGAGGAGGCCATTCCTTCTGCTGTCTCTAGCACACCCAGGCTGCAGGCTAAGCACTGCAATTCTGCTCTGAATAGTACAAATGGGCCCTTTCCCCACTGGGCCTGCAGTCCTCAGCAGGAGCTCTGGGGGCGGGGGTAGTAGAAGCAGGAAAGGAACCTCATTCACAGAAAAGGTGCATTGAGTCCAGGAAGGCTTCCTGGAGGAAGAGAGTTCTAGGCAGAGCTCTGACCACTGTGTGGACATCACAGGGGAGGCAATGGTCCAAGCAGAGACTGCAAGAAAAACAAGTGTGGGGTGTTCAGGGCACGAAGAAGTTGGCCCTGACCAGCCCTCTGCCATAATTGAGCTGATAATCTGGAGATCATGACCCATGAGAAGAGCTGCTGACACTCAGTGTCCAAGGCAGGACTCATATCTTGACCTTCCGACCTTAGCCAGGGCTCTGGCCACCTCTGTGCACCACATATGTGGTCCTTGGAGATGGGGTAGGGGGTGCAAGTAGAGGTAACACTGGGCCACGAAGGCTGATCATAGAGGCACAAAGTCCACCAACCCCAGATATCCCCCAGAAGTTCCCCCACCTGCCACCAATGAGTTTAGCACACATTGGCTCCAGAAGGCGCTCTCAGCCCAGTGCCCAGAAGTGAGTGGGCTGCTTAGAAAGATTCACTGTGACCTGCTCACAGCCTGTGGCTCCCACTGACCAGTGTGCTAAGCCCACTATGCCTTGACCCTGAGCGCACGGAATAAGGCCTGCGTTCTTGGGAATCTTCCCATGGCCTGCAGGACATAATCCACTCTGGAATTTTCACAGACGCATTGCCTGGGGGAAATTCATGAACAGCGGCCAGACCTGTGTGGCCCCTGACTACATCCTTTGTGACCCCTCAATCCAGCACCAAATCGTGGAGAAACTAAAGAAGTCTCTGAAAGTGAGTATGGGGCCCTGGAGCCTGAGAGTGGGAGCTGTGAGGCAAGAGGTGGGCGACACCAGGAATGACCTCTCGACTTGAGCAAATCGTTCCTTTCTTCTGATCATACAAGGAATACACACACGCAATAGAGATCATTTCAGAAAGTTTAAAAAGCATAAAAAAAAAAAAACCTCTGCACCCAGAATCCCATCACCCAGTCTGCTGACATGTGGCTTGGAAGCCTTTGTCCTTCCCTGAAGCCTCCATCTCTTCTCAGGAGTTCTATGGGGAAGATGCCAAGAAGTCACGTGACTATGGAAGAATCATTAATGCCCGGCACTTCCAGAGGGTGATGGGGCTAATTGAGGGCCAGAAAGTGGCCCATGGAGGCACTGGAGATATGGCCTCCCGCTACATAGGTGCGTATCGGGCCCTCTAGAGCACTGCCAGGCTGCTGGTCCTCCAAGGTTCCCACCAAGTTCACAGAAAGCAGCTCAGATACGTGACCACCAGGCAGAGCCCTCTGATGAGCATAAATTATTCTCACCAGTGGGCTTGGAGAGACTCGGGGGCCCTTAGTAGGCAGGGCTGACCATGCCTCCCAAGAAGCCCCATTCCAGCCCCAGAAGCCCATCTCCCACAAGACCAGAACGCCAGTCGATGATGGGGACAGTAGAGGTCATAATAAGAACCCCTGGTGCCTAGGATTGGGTCACCAGATGAGATCCATTTGGACCCCATTTTGTTGAAGAGACAGAAGGAGATACTTGTATCCTTCCAGCTGCTGTGCCTGCCCCATTACTGCCGTGTAGGTTAATTCAGAATAGTCCAGCGGTCTGCCATGATGGACCCCAGGAGGTGCATGGATCATGGGAAGAGCTCTTTAGCATCTCATCCGTCCCCCTCCCTAACACTGGGCAGCATCCTCTGGGAAAGAGTAGAAGCAAGAATCAGACATGCTGGCTGGGTGGAAGGGGGTCTCAGCACTAACTCTGGCTCCTCTCCCACCTCAGCCCCCACCATCCTCACGGATGTGGACCCCCAGTCCCAGGTGATGCAAGAGGAAATCTTTGGACCAGTGATGCCCATCGCGTGTGTGCGCAGCCTGGAGGAAGCCATCCAGTTCATCAACCAGCGTGAGAAGCCCCTGGCTCTCTATGTCTTCTCCAACAATAACAATGTGAGCCGATGGTCCTCCTGCCTGGGTCCTGGGGCTTCTGGGCACAGCAGTCACATGCAAGTAGGATCCAGGGATCCACCGGCCTGAATTCAAATTACAGCTTCCTAGTTCATTGGCTGTGTGACATTGGGCAAGACATTAGACCTTCTGAACCTCTTTAGCCTTGTCTTTAAGAAGTATGTAAGGGGCTGGGGTGGTAGCTCAGTGGTAGAGTGCTCGCCTAGCATGCGTGAGGCACTGGGTTCGATCCTCAGCACCACATAAAAACAAAGTAATGTATCCACCTAAAACTAAAGACACATAAATAAATAATTTTTTTAAAAAAAGAAAGAAGAAGTATCTAAGAAGACAGTAGCATCACCTGGTCATCGGAGCTGTTGCTCATACTACCTCCCCAGGTGGTGCTGAGGGACATGTGATACTTGGGAAGGGCTGAGATGGTAGGTAGCTGTGCCTCTGCTACCTATGTCCTTATGGCTCCAGAACATGCTGAGACAGGACAGGAAGGGAAGCCCTCGGCATCCTCTCAGCAGGAGTGGATAATCAGCAGCTTGGTCCTCAAACAGGTGATCAAGAAAATGATCTCAGAGACATCAAGTGGCGGGGTGACGGCCAACGACGTCATCGTACACATCACTGTGCACTCTCTGCCCTTCGGGGGCGTGGGTGAGTCTAGGACTGGCTCTCAGCCCACCTGCTTCCCCTCTTGCCCAGGGAAGACCATCAGGGGGAATTCAGGGGGACCTGGAGCAGCCAGGAGCCATAGATTCCCACTTACCTCTCCTATTTGGACCTCTGACTTCGGCCTTGGAGCACTAATGCATCCCTGGTGCACTAATCCGTTCCACGAAGACCCCAAGTCAAGGGTCTTAACCTCTTTTAGTGGCATAGCTGGCCCAGTTTGGACTCTTCCTAGGCACTCTCTATATTGTCCCCAGCATGGATGCCCAGGAAGAAATCCTAAGGATCATTCACCTGTAGGAGGCTCAGAAAAGGGGCCCTAGAGGCTTGTAGGCACAACTTGGGGGTGGAATCCTGGCCCTGAGCAAGCTCCTCCCACAGGGCACAGCGGTATGGGGGCCTACCACGGCCGGAAGAGCTTCGAGACCTTCTCCCACCGCCGTTCTTGCCTGGTGAGGTCTTTACTGAATGACGATGCCCACAAGGCCAGGTACCCCCCAAGCCCAGCCAAGGTGAGAGGTGGAGAATGGGGCTGCCAGGGGAAGCAGGCTGTGCCAGACAGCGCAGGGGCTTGGTCCTCACTGCCCCCACCTGTCCTTCCTTATAGATGCCCTGGCACTGAAGAGGGCCACTGCACCTGGCCTATCTGTGCTGTGCGGCCACCAGAGGATGAGACACCTCTCTTGCTCTCCGACTCCTGGAGCTCCTGACTCTGGCCTCTTGCTTCTCTGCTCTCCTAGGCAAGCCCCCAACTCCCAGATGGACCCCAGGTCCCAACTCTCCAAGACCCTTCCCCTGGCAGGACACATAGGGACCAATAAAGGTTTCTGCATGAAAAGTCGTGCTGTTAATGCTTCTTCTTTTTTTTTTTTTGGAGGGGTGGGATTTTAATATTTTTTTATTTCTTTTTGCATTACAATTCTTAATACACCATTATACCATAATTTATCATATCTCTGATCATATATAAGGTATGTTGACACCAAATTCACATCTTCATACATGTATTTTATATAGTGATGAGGGTCTCCTTTCACCATCCATGCTATTCCCCTTCTCCCTCCCTTTCCCTCCCACCCCTATTCCCTATCTAGAGGTAATCTTCCTCCCCTGCTCTCCCTCCCAACCCCATTTTGAGTCACCCCCCCTTATATCAGAGAAGACATTCGGCATTTGTTTTTTGGGGATTGGCTAACTTCATTTAGCATAATCTTCTCTAATGCCATCTGTTTCCCTGCAAATGCCATAATCTTATTCTTTTTTATTGCTGAGTAATATTCCATTGTGTATAAATGTCACTTTTTTTTTATCCATTCACCCACTGAAGGACATCTAGGTTGGTTCCACAGTTTAGCTATTGTGAATTGTGCTGCTATAAACATTGATGTGGCTGTGTCCCTGTAGTATGCTGTTTTTAAGTCCTTTGGGTATAGTCCAAAAAGAGGAATAGCTGGGTCAAATGGTGGTTCCATTCCCAGTTTTCCAAGGAATCTCCATACTGCTTTTCCAAATTGGCTGCACCAATTTGCAGTCCCACCACATCCTCTCCAACACTTGTTGTAGTTTGTCTTCATAATGGCTGCCACTCTTACTGGAGTGAGATGGTATCTTAGAGTAGTTTTAATTTGCATTTCTCTGATTGCTAGAGATGATGAGCATTCTTCCGTATATTTGTTGACTGATTGTGTATCCTCTTCTGAGAAGAGTCTGTTCAGGTCCTTGGCCCATTTATTGATTGGATTATTTTGGGGGTGCTTATCTTGTTGAGCTCTTTATATACCCTAGAGATTAGTGCTCTATCTGATGTGTGAGGGGTAAAAATTTGTTCCCAGGATGTAGGCTGTCTGTTCACCTCACAGTTTCTTTTGCTGAGGAAAAAACTTTTTAGTTTGAATCCATCCCATTTGGTAATGCTTCTTTTGCATCCTGCACCCACTCGCCCTGTCCCACCTGATCCACTGCCTCTTGAGATTTGGTCATTCCAGTGAACCAGTGAATCCCTCCCCACAGCCTCACATCAATCCCCAGGGCCTCGAGGCGGGAGGTCAATGTTAGACCAGGACGCAAGAAAAGACCACTGACTCCAATTAAAATCAAATTAAAGCAAGCTTATTATTTCGACCGGGGAGGCTGCCTCTCCCACCCAAAACTGCGGGGACAAGACAGCTGCTGCAGCTTTCCTGCAGCCCAGCTTTATAGCCCAGAAAGTTACACAAAGGGGGGTTACAGATAACAAACTCTGACAAGCATAACACAAAGGCTAGTTTATATTTTTGCTGGCCCCGACATCAGAATTTATGAAGGTCATTAGAGCCTCAGAGAGGGTCGTTATCTGGCCAGGGAAGGCCAAGATTGATGAGGCGTCACTTAAGTTTCAGAGAGGGCTGCTATCTGGTCAGAGGGCCAGGCATGGGTGAGTTCAAGGCACGGGCAGGCATTCCAAGCAAGTTCAGAATTTGCAGTAATTTACAGTAAAGCCGAAATTATCTTTTCACGGCTTTGTGGCGAAATGGCTCCCAATTTTAAGAAAAGATCAGGTTGGGTCTATCAGTCATTATGTCGGGGTGGCATGTATTCCACTCAGACTTTGGGGTATCTGCTCCATTCCTGATGTGTCCAGCTGTGGAGAAAATAAGGAGGCTGAGCCTTGACGACTAGGGGCTCCAAAACCAGAGACCAGCGCACTCTTCTTAAATCTGATTTAGCATCTAGGGAAGGGGGTCCCTCATGAAACAACACAGTGGTCAACAGGGAGCCCCCTTGGTGATGTCAAAGTGATGCTTATTGGGGCAGAAAGACAAAGTCAGGATTTTTGTTACACAGTAGCTCACCCCAGGTTCCATCCTTAGGGTCCTGGGGAATCAGGGTCCATGGAGGGAAGACTAAAGAGGGATGATGGTCTGAAAGTCTGATCAGAGCAACAGTTAAGTATCAGCCCCACCTGGGCCAGGTAGATGAGTTGGGCAGGTAAGGCAGTAACCTGTAAGGCTGGACCTTCTGTGGCAGGCCCTCCTGGTATCATGGAAGGCAGTCCCTCCTTCAAACTGGTAAGAATGACTGTGACTGAGCTGTCACCCTGAAGGCACTGCAGCCCTATGTTGCCATCCCTCCTGTGACTACACCAGTCATTGCTACTCCCAAGACAATCCAACCCTGTGCCTGGCCCACATCCAGTCCCCGAAGCCAGAATTAGGCAGATAGGCAAGGGTCAGATCCAGAGAATGGAGGAATTGAAATGTTAATTTCATAAGAGCCCTTCCCTTTTCCAACCTGTTGCTAAGGTAACCAGTCTCAGAGATTGTCCCTCCCTACAGGGAGTTATTAATTACACCCCCTTCCTGCCCAGGTCACTCCAACTTGGCCCCTCCAGCCCTTCTGCTTCTCAACTTGTGGCCATCCCACCCAGCATCTCCATGTGTGCAGAAGGAGAGAGATAAGGGAAAGAGAGCAGGAGAATAAAGGAGGCCTAGGACATATAAAAAGGCAAAACACCCTCCCTTCTTGGGATACCAGGATGCCAGCTATGGCTGTTACCCCTTTTTGAATAAACTGTGCTTTATATGCTTGCCTCTGTGTGCTTCTCTAATGTTATACTTCAACATGTGAGGAAGCAGAATGTCACCAGTAACTGGTGGTATAATCCCCATCTCCCTGTTTCCCACCCCTGACCCTCCACTCTCTCCTACACCATTGCTCTCCTCTCCTGTACTAGATCATTCCTTGTTGGTAACACCTCACACCTCATATTTAAAACCCCTCACCCCCAAACACCCTAAACCCTTAAGCAGTTATCTGTGCTCCATTCCCTCTAGTAAGAGAGAGCAAACTGCCCTGATTGTTGGAATGTTTTTTATGTGCACCTGAGACTTGCTGTACACATACCCAGGAAGGTGAATCATAGTAGGAAAACCAGTGTCTTCTCACAAGCCAGTCCCCTCTGGTTACTGCCTCATTTCTCTACTCTCTCCCCTTCCCAGTGAGAATCTAGTGAATGGTGGTCTACTCTTGGATGTCACTTGCTTATTTCCACTTACTTCAGCCCAGCCAGGTGAGGCTCCCTCACCTCCACCCTACCCAACCACTCTTGCCCAGTGTACCAACAACCCCCATTGATACTGAACCAGACCCACTTTGCCTGCGCAGGGTGTGCCAATCACCAAGACCACCCGTATTGCAAAGCAGTTTATGGCTGAGAGTGGAAGGGGAGACCCTGTCATAGGACAGGTATAAGGTCAGGCAACAGCAGCGACCAAAAGGCCACTGAACAGGGCTTTATTGAGATTTCACTCCCAGGTGGAACTCTCAGACCCGCAGAGTAAGAAGAGGGTCTGAGGAGAAACCGTGCAGGGGCTCTACCAGACTGGAATTTTTATTGGGCATAGGGCAGGAAGGGAGGGCTTGGGACAGGAAAGGGAGTTTTTAGAGTCCTTTGTCCCACTGGAGTTGACGTGGGGGGGGGAGTTTCTGGGGGTAACTGGCTGAGATCCAGGATTGGCCAGGAGTCCCCGCTGATTGACAGGCTGTTCCATCAGTGCCTGACCAGTGTTTCGCACACACAGGATGCTGGATGCTTTGTTCCTGAGTCACTGCCATCGACCTGATGCAGGGTATGAGGATACTTATGGAATAAGGAAGAAAGGAGATTTAGGGCACAGGGAAAGGCATCTGTGGTGAAAAAGTCAGTGGTTTTGCTACAGGGGTCGCTTTATTGTAACGGGTCCACTTCATATTTTAAATATAACCTTGCTTCTCAACCACGGGCAACTTTATTTTTTTTTTTATTGGTTGTTCAAAACATTACAAAGCTCTTGACATATCATATTTCATACATTTGATTCAAGTGGGTTTTGAACTCCCAATTTTACCCCAAATACAGATTGCACTTTAAAGTAACATGTTTTTGCTCCCTGTTCTCCCTCTTTCCCTCCCAACCCTGAGGGGAACAATATGAATGTTCTTCCTGTCCTGAGCCAAGTTATCTGCCCCTTCTACAAGAATAATGAAACTCTGGATCTACAAATTGGAACTACAGCTCATTCAAGGATATAAGTTAAACATTAATTAGCTCTACCACTAATGATATGTGGGAAAACTGCCCTCTTTTAAAGCCCTCTGTCCCCGCCCCCAGGCAGTCAGAATGCCAGCTGTGTGAACATGAGTTCATTGTCTTTCTCCTTCACCAGAAAGACAATAAATCCTCTTTTTTCCTTTTTCTCAAAACTTTGTCCTTGTTACTGGATCGGCATCTGGGACAAGGACCAAGCTTTTGGTTTCAGTCTGTGCACAAATAATTGAGAAACTGATGTGACTTCATTTTTTAAAAATAAATAAATAACAGCAGCTTCTACCTCAAGGCCTGTCCTAAGGAAAGGGGCATGACCCTTGTCCTTGGAAAAACCCACAGAGCACTCCTAGGCACATACCCACCCCTGCTGAGTTGTTTGTCAGTAAATAACAGGAGAGATCTGCAGCACCGGGTGTCCCTGACTCAGTTAGGCTAGGTGAAGACCCATAGCAACCCCCTAGCAACCTCCAATCAGCATGAGACAGGGAAAATACCTGGGATGCCAGATGACCCCCCAGTAGTTTATGGTGGTTGATAACATGTTGGGAAACCATGTAGTTTAGCATGTACACCCCTCGTGGCCTAAACCAATCAGTTCAAAGGAATTCCCCTCTTGTACTAACCAATCACCCTACCCAACTTGTTCCCACCAGTGAATGCTGCTAATCAATGTTAAGAGTTGTTATTTGACTTTCCCGCGGTATGGAATGATTTGCTGTGTGATGTTGTGATGCATAAAGTATCCCCCCAAAACCTATAAAATCTCACTGGACAAAG